GCGTTGCGAAGGCAGTGGCAGCCTCCGCGCGAGAGGGGGCGCCCGAGAGGGCGCGGACGGGCAGTGGCCGCCCTGCGAAAACATAGTGGCTGCGTGCGCGAGAAGGGCCGTCGCCTGTGGGACAGGTCCGCGCGAATCGCGGCGCCCGCAGGCGAGGGCGCGGCCGCGGGGCCGCGGCGTGCCCCCCCAATAGTGAGCGCACCTGAGAAGGCGGACAGGACGTCCTCTCAAGAGCCCTCCCATCCAGGTGCGCAGACAGCCGCGAACATCGTCGACACGCGCGCCTGCGAGAAGGGGAACGCGAAGCTGAGCAGCTACTGCGTCAGCAGGGCCATGTGGTACGCGCGCTCCCAAATCGCCAGCACATGGCTAGAAGGCGGCGAAGCGATCGAGCCCAACGCCACCAGCTACAGTGTTGGAATCCAATGGGAAGCGGAGGACATACATGGAGTGTGGGGGCCCCATCCCGAGGGTTGACCAGAAAAAGGTGGAGAAGCGATATCAAAGATATCTCCACGGTGAGGAAAGCGGCAAGTTCACGATCACAGGGTCGAACGGGAGGCCCACGTGGCCCCTCAGAGCAGATTTCGACAACATGCTGCTCCTGAGGGCCACAAGGGCGAAGGCTTCGATCAAAGGCATCAGGAGACGCAGAGTGTAATTGCGCTGCGTGAGAGAGGAGTTTACATGCTGTATGAGTGAATTGCAGCGTGGTTGTTCTGTGCTGCGCTAGGGGCCCCAAGCGTTTCTGGGCTCCCGAAGCGGCACCCGCCTAGGCGAAACTCGACTGCGTCGTCGCCGAATTCTCCCGAATTCTCCTCCTCCTCCTCCTCCTCCTCCTCATGCTGTTCCTCCTCATTCTGTTCCTACCCATCCTCCACCTCCTCATCCTCCGAATCATCCTCCACCTCCTCACTCCTCCTGTTATCCTTCCCCCCCTCTCCTCGAAGCTCCTCTCAGCCACTCCATCCGAGGTGGCCCTACTCCCAAGGGCGCGGGGTGGACCAGCACGCTCACGCTGCAGGTCTGCGCCGGCAGTTGCCTGCAGGCCCTCAAGGACGGGGCCCCGATGGGCACGGCGTTGCCGCTGTTTTCGACGTCCGCGTCGTCCTTCTCATCCCTCCCCCTCCCTATCCTCCTCATCGTCACCCCTCGTATACCCTCTCCCTCCTTTCCCTCTTCTCCTCTTCGTCCTCCTCGTCCTCGTCCTCCTCCTCGTCCTCCTCCTCCTCCTCTTCCTCCTCCTCCTACTCCCCCTCCTGCTCCTCCTCTTCCTCCTCGTCCTCCTCCTCCTCCTCGTCCTCCTCCTCCTCCTCCTCCTCCTCCTCCTCCTCCTCCTCCTCCCCTCCTCCTCCTCCTCCTCCTCCTCCTCCTCCTCCTCCTCCTCCTCCTCCTCCTCCTCCTCCCCGCACTGCCCCTTGTTGAATATCTGTTTCAGGGAGTTCAGGCTTGACGCTAACCCACGTCCAACTGAATCCTTCCCCCCCGCCACCTCCTCCCCCATACCTCCCCTCCTTCCGGAAACCTCCCAAGACACCCAATGATGGTCCTCAAATGTCCCAAATTGGTCCCCCTACTATCTTAAAGGCTCCAAGCCGCTCTCGTGTTGGGTGTTGGCATGGGTTACTCTGGCCCACGTAGTCCCCAGGCTTGCACGTGAACCTTGGCGCCCCCCCACAAGCGCCCCAGACGGCGAAGGCAAGAAGAGTTCTGGGAGCTCCAGAGAACCAAATATTGCCTAGGTTCCCCAATGCATTCACAAAGCATTCCAGAAGGCTCCTAAAACATGTGTTCCTTCGCCTTATATTCCTCAGGGGGGTCAGGGGGGCTGTGGAGTGGAGGAGGTCATCCAAGTCGTTCCTGGGGGCCACAACAAAGCAGGGAGGCGCCCTACGCATCGAAAGCCCCGTGCGGCCTTGGGCCATCCACATGTGCCCATCGCGCACATCACCCGCATCATGATCATCGCTTTCGCTGCTCAGCGATCACCCGAACGCACGCAAACGACTAGACAATGGTATATCCCTGCATTCTCTGATTGCGGCAAACGTTCGCTGTAATGGTTCCCGCCTGCAGTAACGATTGTACCATATTGCGGGAGGCGGCAGTTCGTGTTTCATGGTCCTGGCCGCCCAGGAAGGCGATGTGCTTCCCATGCGCGGTCCAGGCCAGGGAAGGTCAGCGCTAACTTAAGATGATGGCTACGTTCACGTGTCAAGGAAGCGTTCCTGGGAATTCGGTCAGGTTCTCGAATTGCGTGGCTCGTGTCTAGAAATTGCTTCTGATGTGTGGAAAACGCTTGCGACGCATACAGACCGTTTGTTGAAACTACTACAAGTTCTGCCCAGCACGCTGCAGTGGTGTTTCTGCGTTCTGGAAATAGTTGTTGGTTTCTACACGTTTGTTTGTTTCCAGAAACGACTCGCCGTTGTCAGAGAACATCGGGAGTCGGACGGCCAAATCGCGCCAGCGGGCCGGGCAACGACCCCAATCCGCGCCA